ATTTTACCCCGGCACCCCAACTTACCTCCCACACCCTCTCTAAAAGTTTCTCCTACTTTAGCATTCAAGCCCCCTTTACCACAATTACTCTCTCACTTGGTTCAAAGGCTCCTATACATTCACTTAACATCTCCCAAAATCTCTCTCTCTCCTCTGCATTCCTCTCTTCCCAGGTGCATACACGCTTATTATGACCCACTTCTCGCATCCAACCTTGACTTTAATCCACATAATTCTTGAATTTACACATTCATATTCTCTTTTCCTCCTTCCATAACTGATCATTTAACATTACTGCTACCCCTTCCTTGCTCTAACTCTCTCAGATACTCCAGATTTAATCCCATTTATTTCCCCCCACTGAAACTCTCCTACCCCCTTCAGCTTGTTGTTCGCTTAGGGCCAGGACATCCAACTTCTTTTCATTCATAACATCAGCAATCATCTGTTTCTTGTCATCCGCACTACATCCACGCACATTTAAGCAACCCAGTTTTATAAAGTTTTTCTTCTTCTCTTTTTTAGTAATTGTATACAGGAGAAGGGTTACTAGCCCATTGCTCCCGCATTTTAGTCGCCTCATACGACACGCATGGCTTACGGAGGAAAGATTCTTTTCCACTTCCCCATGGACAATAGAAGAAATAAAAAGAACAAGAGCTATTTAGAAAAAGGAGAAAAACCTAGATGTATGTATATATATATATATGCATGTGCGTGTCTGTGAAGTGTGACCAAAGTGTAAGTAGGAGTAGCAAGATATCCCTGTTATCTTAGCGTGTTTATGAGACAGAAAAAGAAACCAGCAATCCTACCATCATGCAAAACAGTTACAGGTTTTTGCTCACATGAATATGCAAATACAAACTGTATTTCTATAAAAGTGTAAAATAAATACTTTGTTATATGTTTGTGCTCTTGTGAAATATATGCTAATATTTATTAAATGAAAGTTGTCTCATGTGTTAAGAACTAATATAGTAACTTTTACCTTGGGTGATTAGGGTAGTAAAATTAATTTCCTTGTACAGTATGTCATCTAATGTACAGTAAGAAGGGGTCTCTAATGGTAAAATTATCTCGATGTCTAACCTTAGCACAAAAATTTCCAATACGGTTTCCACAAAGTAGAGACTAAATACTTTTATAACTATTTTGTATCATCTGATCTTCCAGTTACCTGAGGGAGGAGGAAGCCACTTCTCCATTTCTTCATCCAGCTCATCAATGACTACCTCAGTATTTACTTGTGCTTCAAGGCTAGCTTCAATGATCTTAAGTGGAATGTCATATTGCTGGTCAAGGCCGAGGTAACTGTCAGACATCACATATAATGTCAGTACAGCACTTCCTGAAATAAATGTAAACAATACTTATAAAAACTATTGAAAAGCTTTATGCATAAATAATAATAGTTCATAACACTTTGACATGCTTTTTGACAACTAGAATCTCACCTTGCAAAAATGCAAATGAAAAATATAAAAATTGGAATAAATAAAATACAAAAAAAAAAAAAAAAAAAAAAATGATCTTTTTTTAAAACCACACTTGTGTAACAGTAACAGTGACTGCTTATGTTTTTCCAAATGAATTATGATTATATAGTGAATTCTTGTAAGTGAATTATGACTGAATAGTGAATTCTTGTAAGTGAATTATGACTATAGTACAGTACAGTAGGGCCCCACTTATTCAGCAGGTTAGGTTCCAGGCTACTGCTGGAAAGCAGACTTCGCCGGAAAGCAGAACTCCACTTTTTCCATTTATAAATGCCAGATAACAAGTTTACACTAACATATATTAACCCTTTCAGGGTCCCCAGGCCCTCTCCCAGACTTGTTCTCAGGGTTGCCCAAATTTAGAAGAAAAAAAAAAAAAAAAAAAAAAAAAAAATCTTATGAAAAGATAGATAATCTTTTCCTGATCATAATGACACCAAAAGTATAAAATTTGATAGAAAACCTATGGAATTATGCTCTTGCAAAGTTAGCTGTCCCGACGATGTTTATGCATCGGCGATTTTGCCCAGTTTGAACCCTATTTTCGGCCAACTCCAGTGTACTAGTCGACAAAAATCATAACTATTTCGATAGAACTCTACTTTTTCTATCGAATGAGTACAAGAAACCACCCATTTACCAATTTCAGCTATCATATACAGTGGTCAGAATTTAGCAATTTTGCCAATTTCACACAAATTTCAAAAGTTGCCAATTTCCAAATAGGGTCCAGAATAAACAAGAAAGACATTCCTGGCATTAAAATAACATTTCCTCCGTTCATTAGTCATGTCCCCAAGCCCCTCTTACATTCTTTTGCTTTCCACTTTGAATTTTTATTCTCACAAAAAAAAAATAGAAGATTTACTGTTATGCAGACTACTGCATTAGTGTAGAACTGGTATAAATAATATTGGCGCACTTGTGAAAGAATATTAGACTCACCAGTTGACGTGTATTGGACGCTTAGCATGATTTGTTTATTTTTGAACTTTGGTAAAAATCGAACATTTCTGCTACTTTGAGCTCAACTTCAAGGTACTTTTCATTGTAAAACCAGTCAATATCATCTCAATTTCTGTAATATGTCTTCCATTCTATAAAATGAGACCAGGAAAACTAGAATACAACAATAAATACCATACGAAAATACAGTGCAAAGTCGCTGTTTTAATCCAAAAACACGGTCAAAGTTTTTTTTTACTCATTACGCACTGTGTGCAGCAGGATTTTTTATACTGCACATACTGACCACATAGACCCATTCTTTCATATGTAGGCCTACCAGCTTTCTCTCACTAGATTTGAGGGCACTAGAATTTAGGCGTACTAGTACGTCGAAAACCCTGGTGCGTAAGCCATACTAGTACATCCGAAACCCTGGAAGGGTTAAGCTAGCAATAGAACTAGGCATTAAAAAGAAAAATACACACAGTACACTCATTATTTACCTCAAAAATTTGTAGTCATAATGTAGGGCAACGCAGTATAGCCCTTGTGGTTTAGCGCTTCTTTTTTATTATAATAATAATAATGTAGGGCAAAAGGTGAGTAGTATTTACTCTAAGAAGTCAGGTGTGGTAGCCCTCCTGGCCACCCCACTCACACATACTATACTACGATGCTTCAAGCTCCCTAGAGCGATAAAATGCATATACAGTACACGCATTACTTACCTTAAAATATTTGTAGCCTTAATGGTCTTAATGTAGGGTGAAAGGTAAAAAGTATTTATTTGTAGAAAGTCATGTGGGAGGTATGGCATCCTGCCTGGCCACTTATACCTACTACGACATTAAGCTCCCGAGAGCGATAAAATGCATATATAGTACACTCATTAATTACCTTAAAATATTTGTAGTCTCAATGTAGGGTGAGAGGTGAGTTTTATTTATATGAAGTCAGGTTGGGAAGTATAGGTAGCCAGGAAGGGCAGCCCTCCCCACCCCACTCACACATAATGTAAACAAACCAGATGAATGCGTCTGGTTTTCGTCACAAGGCCTACAAGATGCTGGCTACCACAAGTCCTACAAGCTGCCTGGGTACCACAAGTCCTACAAGTCGCCTGGCTACCACAAGTCCTACAAGCTGCCTGGGTACCACAAGTCCTACAAGTCGCCTGGCTACCACAAGTCCTACAAGTCGCCTGGCTACCACAAGTCCTACAAGTTGCCTGGCTACCACAAGTCCTACAAGTTGCCTGGCTACCACAAGTCCTACAAGTTGCCTGGCTACCACAAGTCCTACAAGTTGCCTGGCTACCACAAGTCCTACAAGTCGCCTGGCTACCACAAGTCCTACAAGTTGCCTGGCTACCACAAGTCCTACAAGTTGCCTGGCTACCACAAGTCCTACAAGTTGCCTGGCTACCACAAGTCCTACAAGTTGCCTGTCTACCACAAGTCCTACAAGTTGCCTGGCTACCACAAGTCCTACAAGTTGCCTGGCTACCACAAGTTGCCTGGCTACTACAAGTCCTACAAGTTGCCTGGCTACCACAAGTCCTACAAGTGCCTGGCTACTACAAGTCCTACAAGTTGCCTGGCTATCACAAGTCCTACAAGTTACCTGGCTACAAGTCCTACAAGTTGTCTGGCTACCACAAGTCCTACAAGCTGCCTGGGTACCACAAGTCCTACAAGTCGCCTGGCTACCACAAGTCCTACAAGTCGCCTGGCTACCACAAGTCCTACAAGTTGCCTGGCTACCACAAGTCCTACAAGTTGTCTGGCTACCACAAGTCCTACAAGTTGCCTGGCTACCACAAGTCCTACAAGTTGCCTTGCTACCACAAGTCCTACAAGTTGCCTGGCTACCACAAGTTGCCTGGCTACTACAAGTCCTACAAGTTGCCTGGCTACCACAAGTCCTACAAGTTGCCTGGCTACTACAAGTCCTACAAGTTGCCTGGCTACAACAAGTCCTACAAGTTGCCTGGCTACCACAAGTCCTACAAGTTGCCTGGCTATCACAAGTCCTACAAGTTGCCTGGCTACTACAAGTCCTACAAGTTGCCTGGGTACAACAAGTCCTACAAGTTGCCGGGCTACCACAAGTCCTACAAGTTGCCGGGCTACCACAAGTCCTACAAGTTGCCTGGCTACTACAAGTCCTACAAGTTGCCTGGCTACCACAAGTCCTGCAAGTTGCCTGGCTACTACAAGTCCTACAAGTTGCCTGGCTACAACAAGTCCTACAAGTTGCCTGGCTACTACAAGTCCTACAAGTTGCCTGGGTACAACAAGTCCTACAAGTTGCCTGGCTACTACAAGTCCTACAAGTTGCCTGGCTACCACAAGTCCTACAAGTTGCCTGGCTACCACAATTCCTACAAGTTGCCTGGCTACCACAAGTCCTACAAGTTGCCTGGCTACTACAAGTCCTACAAGTTGCCTGGCTACCACAAGCCCTACAAGTTGCCTGGGTACAACAAGTCCTACAAGTTGCCTGGCTACCACAAGTCCTACAAGTTGCCTGGCTACTACAAGTCCTACAAGTTGCCTGGCTACAACAAGTCCTACAAGTTGCCTGGGTACAACAAGTCCTACAAGTTGCCTGGCTACTACAAGTCCTACAAGTTGCCTGGCTACCACAAGTCCTACAAGTTGCCTGGCTACCACAAGTCCTACAAGTTACCTGGCTACCTCAAGTCCTACAAGTCGCCTGGCTACCACAAGTCCTACAAGTTGCCTGGCTACCACAAGTCCTACAAGTTACCTGGCTACAAGTCCTACAAGTTGCCTGGCTACCACAAGTCCTACAAGTTGCCTGGCTACCACAAGTCCTACAAGTTGCCTGGCTACCACAAGTCCTACAAGTTACCTGGCTACAACAAGTCCTACAAGTTGCCTGGCTACCACAAGTCCTACAAGTTGCCTGGCTACCACAAGTCCTACAAGTTGCCTGGCTACCACAAGTCCTACAAGTTGCCTGGCTACCACAAGTCCTACAAGTTGCCTGGCTACAACAAGTCCTACAAGTTGCCTGGCTACCACAAGTCCTACAAGTTGCCTGGCTACCACAAGTCCTACAAGTTGCCTGGCTACCACAAGTCCTACAAGTTGCCTGGCTACCACAAGTCCTACAAGTTGCCTGGCTACCACATCTCATATTTATGTTAATTTATTCTACTGTGGGGTGTATTTAGATGGATTAAGCAAAATATCTATATTAATGTTTTATGGGATATTTAATGCTCCTTAGAGTGATTATTATTGTTATTATTATCATTATTAATATGGCATCTTCAAGACAGTCTTAGTGATTTTAATGTGTACCTACATGTCAGCACAGTGTGTAAGTTTACTTAGCTATGGGTGCACATACGTATCAGTTATAATAATAATGTAGGTATGTAGTCCACCTGGGCTACATACCTACACGATATTTAATGTGGCCCAGTGACATATTACCATCGACATACCATGTTCACTGAGTTTAATTGTTTATAACAATTACCTTTAGATGTCATCATAAACAAATGGAGAAGTAATGAATAATTCACGCTGAGAATTGTAAACAAAAGCGTTATGTATTAAGGGGAGTGATGTAATGTTTTCCCTCCGCCCAGCTACCACACCTCCATAGTATATAAACATAAAATGTTTATATATTATGTAACCTGTTTCTTACATAATTTTGAAGAAAATATATTAGATGGATTAATATAAATGTCTATATTAACGTAAAATAAGACGTTTAATGTTCCCAAGAGTGATCAATATTAGTATTATGTAATGTTTTCCCGCCACCCAGCAACCACACCTCCATAGCATATAAACAGTATGTTTATATGCTATGTAATGTGTTTCTTATATAATTTTGAAGAAAATATATTAGATGGATT